ATTATAAATGCACAGTTAAAGCTGGATTTTTTTTAAATTTACATAAACTGTGTTAAGCACAAGTTAAGTAATGAATTATTAATGTTAGTGTAAACATATACCGTAAGGTTGAAGTCTTAGGGCCCTAATTTAAAGATCTAAGCGCACTTACTGTAGGGCATGTCCGAATCCACTTTTGCTGTTTAACGACGGGAAAAATGGTCATTTGTCCCTATTCTCTTAATGAGTAATAAACCAATTAGTCTCATCTCCCATTCCCTTTAAAAGCCAGTTTAAATGCGTATTCGCTATTTACATGGTGAAATTTGCAAGCGGAAAAACTGAACGCTTCTCTAGCGAGGAAACGGATCCTTTAAAGCGCGCAAGCAGACCATTTACGGGACAAAGTCTACGTGCGTTGTGGCCCGCTTATTACTAACACGCTCTTTAAATGAACAAAATAAAAAATACTGCGCCATTGACTTTTGACCGGGTTTCAGTTGGTCTACGATGCAGTCTATTTGAGTTGCCAGAACACACCTCGTTTTTAGACCAGCACGCCCATGGGCTAAAATGCATTTGCTATTTAAACAACGTGGCGCAGGACGTAAAAATGATAACTGCGTCAGGCTGAAACTACCCTACCGTACTCTTCGCCGTAGCCTGACGCGCACCTCCTCAAAAATGTAACTACACGCAAGATCTGTGATTGGTCGGCTTGGTAGCATCGCATTTCCTCCTACGCAATTCCGCACGTACCATCTCCTCCGACGTCTTCTCGCATTTCTGCCTTTTAGTTTTAGTAATTTCACTATAATTAACTGTTTTTCCACCTCAATAAGCTCCAACTCCAACATGATCCGCTCTCTTTCAGTCGCCATTTCTTGTATTAACCTAGCCGCGAGGAATCTAAACACAGTGGAACATTAAAACCCTCCGCCGCCAACTAGCGTTTCGGAGCAGTACTGCAGAGCAACCAAGACCTGAACGCAGAAGTATAAATGCTCACGACGGCGTCGCCTACACTACGGCGTACCTTCGACGCAGAAGTATAAATTGGTCTTACATGCTGACACAAAGAGTTTGTGACAGTGACATGATAATTTCCCAATACTGCTGTGATTTTTTTTCTTTTTTATTTCAGTATATAGGCTACTTTCAGTTCACAAATTAGCATGCAGGCTTTGTCATTACTAAACATCCTCTCCGACATTGTTCTATTAGCCTCGTCAGTAGCAGCTTTCCGTCAGGTGGCTGTGTTAATTATCGACTGATCAAACAGTCAAACAATTGTGGGTGAGGGGTCTGGTGAAACAGTATCGATGGGAAGAGGGCTAACATTCGAACTCTCCATTTTTCCCAGACACACACCAGACATGTTCAATACATCCCCACTTTACTTTCCATTTCCCCAGCCTTTAAATGCTCCCAGCTGTAATTATGAGTTCAAATCAGGATGTTACAGGCTGCTGCATTGTATGACATACAATTGCACATTTCTTATGAAACACTATAATTTAAAAACTTCCTACTATTTATGGCAATACATTTTTCTTAATTAAGAATATTGTTATTTTTAAATCTCATTTGATTTAGTCTTTTAAGCTAGTTAGTGCTTTTCATGCACTCTTGAAAATATATGTCATTCAAAAATAAAATTCATAAGTTATTTTTTGTTTGGTATAGGTATAAATTCTATTTATGTTATAATTTTATAGAAATAGTATAGTATAGTTATAGTAATTTACACTATGTTCTCTTTAAATTGGTGTCACTGCATTTCAACCAAGGCTTTAACAACTTTTAATGTATAATTTAATGGGAAAACACTCTTAATGAATGCGCTAATACCCAAGAGAATACCCCTAAAATATGTATTGGTCTTTTAATGGTCTCAACCATTTTAATCACAAATCACTGGTCAAGAAATTAACAAGAATTGAATAAAAACTGTATAAAGAAATAGCCTTCCCCTGCTTGCAGGCAGCTTTTTACAGGAAGAAGACTCATGTCTCCCAGTTCCTTTGAGTTTTATGTGAATCCTTGTGTTTCATTTATGACTCACACAACTTCCCATAATCTGCTAAAAAACTTCATTCTGTCTTTGATGTTTTTTCTGAGACAGCAATGGCTTTTTAAGTAGTGCATTTGCTTCCATTTTGCTAATTTCCTGACCAATAATTTTACTTTTAATAAGTAAAATTTTAGTGTTTAGTGGTTGTTGTTTTTTTTGCTCAGGAGTGTATGAAACATCCCAAGGCGTCATATAGGTGACACTTTTGACATTTCGTCTACATCCGACACACATGACATCCTTTAGCATCAATATGAGACGCAGATATGGGGCAGAAGGCGCCTCCTAGTGGTCTAACCCTAACACTACCCCAGACCTAAACCTACCCATAACCGAAGCGTGTTATATTAACGCTAAAGGTTGCCACGTGCGTCGGATTTAGACGCAATGTCAAAAGCGTCACCTATATGACGGCCTAGGATGAGAATGCGTTGACATAGGCTACAGTAGCTACCGTTCAAAAGTTGGGGGTCAGTAAGATTATTTTAAGAAATCAATATTAATATTGATCAAAAGTGACAGTTAAGAAATGGAGTTAAGATATGAAGACTGGTGTTATGTTAAAATTTTTGCTGTTTTCAATGTACATTTTTTCCTATTTTTCCTTTTGGCCTGAAAAATGAAAATGTGTCTAGAGTAACATCCTGATCTCTCATACAGTGTGTACTGCCTTACTACACACAAGTCTAAAAGTGCATGTCCTGAAGTATACGCAGCTGTTTAGGTGCATGACGGGAAGAATGTCCGACTGTATATCAATGAACAGATCGATGTGTTTGTATCGACTGATGGATTGAAATCAATACCTGGTATGTTAAGTCAGAAGGAGTGATGATGTGTTTTAAAAGAGCAGGAGAGAAGGCTTAATCAGAGCACACCCTTCGCCCGCGGAGACTTCAGAGGTTTCTTTGCTCATTATAAGTTATGCGTGTGTGTGTGTCCATGTCTGCAAACACAGGTCTGTGGATAGAGCTGTTACCTAGTGTACACGGATTATTATTATGATGCTGCGGTGGGTACCACCCCACTCCAGGGACCAAGACTTGAGAGGGCCCCTTAAAATACCGTGCAATAATTGGAATTGCTTTATCTTTAGTCTCATCAATTAATGTGCAATTTTCCATTTAATTACCAACTCGCTCACAAAATTTGCAATTAAAATGAGGCGAGATAACAGTGAAGATGCCTTTCGGCTGATAGCACTTGGAATGAGAACACAAGCGCGGTGTGTAATCAGTATACAAATCACACACACACAACGTTCTCAATTTGTATGATTTGGACGAGCTTCATAAAATATGCAACGCCAAGCTAGAATCTAATTTGTGCTTGGAAAATTCCTCACGTTTCCACGAAGTCCAACACGAAATGGTCCGAGTGCAGAGGTGCTTTGGTTTTTTAAGATCATGATAACCCAAAACCCAGTGTGTGTGTGTGTGTGTGTGTGTATGGGATCTCCTTAAAATAGCTGCTTGGCTTGCTTTGGCCCCTTCAACCCTTTTCCACATGCTCCTGCCAACCTGAAGATGAGCTGTGAGGGGGAAAAAAAAAACGATCTTTCCTGTTTTCCCGCACAAACTGTTGTCTGTCTGCTGTCTGAGGAAGGTTGTATCCTGTCTGCCATCTGACAGACTTGGCTTCTGTACTATATACTGCTCTATGTCTCCTTGTTTTTCCCACAATCCTCTTGACAATCCTCTTGTTCTGCTGTCCACAGAATTATTTACGCATATGTGCTCATTTAAACATGATTCTGTCTCTTTAAGATTTCAAGCTGTTAAGATATAGTTGTTCTCAAGAGAGAAAATGACTATTTCTAAAGCTCAGAGAGACCTTTTATAGGTCACGGTTTAAATGAGTGATTTATGTCTCGTGTAATTACCGAATGGAGCAGAGGTCCCACCCACATTAACTCGGCAGATGTGATTGTACTGTTCTTTCAGAGTAATTATATATGATTGCTTATGTATTTTTAGTATTGTTAGCTTCTGCTTCTTACATCTGTGGGCTGCTACTAAAAGCCTGGAGCTCAATGGTGGACTGAAGACAGGTCAAACTGTCTGAAATGATCATTTTAATGATTCGGGTGTGATTTCATAAGTTTCCGTAACAAATATAGAACAAAAGACTCAACGAGTTTAACACTGAATATACTTTTATATGCGTCATGTGTTTGGATGGCACCAAATCTTATTTTGAATGCACTCATTTAAAGATGTTAATGGTAACTTTATAAGAAAGCTATAGGGTTGCAGTTATGCTTGCTGATTTGTTTGTTTATTAAAAAAAAAAAATCTGAATTTTCTTTTTAAAAACAAAGACTACTTTTTACAGTTTTGTTTTGAAATTCAACTCAAATTTAAAATGATTCAACATTTCAAAATGTGAGCAAACCAAAACGGGGTTCAGAACAGGGGTTCATATGTGGTAACAAGGGGCCAATTATCTGTAGCCAGGGTTTCCCACAGTGCACCATCCCCGGGGTCCAGCCTTCTCTTGCCCACTGTCAATTACTCTTCTGACAACAGAGCTAATGAGCCACTGATTGGCCTGCTGGGGTTGTCATGTTTATCTTTGTAAAACACTAACTCATCATGTACCTGCACCTCAAGGTGCTTATTTTGTTTTCTTGACAGACGTACTGCAAACTTAGATCGTGTTAGATTGTTGTCTCTCAAACGTGTTACTTTTAGTACTATTATTCATATATATGAAATGATATATAAATAGTTTAGTTTAAAAACAACTCTCTTCCAACATCGTATCAGTTATTTTGTTCAGTTTAAGCACAGCAGCACCTAGTGGTGGGTCATGGAATTGTTTTTGTGAATTTTGTTGTCTTTTTATATAATATTTTAGTATATATTATATTTACTTTTGGTAAATATGCCACTAAATATGCAACAACACTCTCAATAATCCTTTATATCACTGTTGTTTCCTTCAGGGTCTCCATGTGAAGCTATCCCATGATGCAACATGTGTCCCCAGCACCAGCATTGACCATGATGGCCACACAGAGCGTCCCACCACCATCGTACCAGGAGAGCCAACAGGTCAGTCAACAAACAAACAAACGGCAAAGAAAGAGGAAGGCTGTGACAAACTTTCTGTTTATTTGGGTAACCTATTTTTAAGAAAGATTTGAATGTATTATTAAATACATAGACCCACCTTAGATGTAGGTTTATAATCCAGGTGCCAAAACAAGACTGGAACATGATAAGAACAAAAAAATCTCGGTGAAACATTTAGCATGTGAAATCTTCATTGTGCTTGTCCTGAGGTAATCAGAGGGACACAGAGCTACATTTTTGTCCCAGAGTCCCCTCTCCCTGTCCAGCTCCGCCTTGAGGATTAGAGGCTGGGGAAAAGAGAGCAGCGCCAGCACGCTGGTGGGGACATGCAAATGAGAGCTAGTTAAGTGTGAAGAAGCTAATTTATTTCCTATTTGAGGCTGGGATTAATACTTCCAGCTTCCTCCCTTAAACCATTTTTGTTCTGGGGAGGGAGACAGGAGGGGGCTTGCTTTCAAAGCTGCATCACAAAAGAGAAAAAAACAGGACAGGGATAGATGGGAAAACGTAGACAACAGGAGAGTTGTACTCTCTCTTCCACTAATGCATCCTAAACAGGGTATTTGTGCATCCTGACATTGTTTCGAATGCGAGGGCAAGACCTCTGCCCACCTCGACTGCCAGAGTTTTATTTGATGACTAGGGGGAACATATTCCTGCAGAAGGTGACCTACGTAAAAATTTAGGGGTCAAGTGCCTCAAATTAGATTCCAGATTTTAATGAGACCATATGCCGCAGTCGGTAACGTTCTTACATTGTCAAGATAGGCAAACCGAGAGATTGCAGACACATTGGAAGTGCCTTCCTGAAATGCTGAGAGGTTTTTTTTCTTACTAGCTTTTACCTCAAGTTTTTCTAGAACTTCACCTGGATGTGTGCCATTTTTCCTCCAATGCGGAAAAGATAACAAACCAGATTACTACATGCACATTTCCGCCCTTACAGCTATAAAAGCATAAAAAAGCGCAAGAGTGAAGCGTTAATAAACTAAATCTGATAAGACGACAGTGCCTGGCTGTGAGCCACCAATAACATGCACATGAGCAAGATGATGTTGAACAGCATCTTTGGCTCATCAGTGTGGAGAGGGTAAACGCAGAATGGGTTGCATGCTCTTCAAACGCATGCTATTTAGTTTTATTTGTTTGTCAGGAATTATGAGCGGATTTAATTGCTGTAAATAAGTCCAGGAATTCTGTAAAGAAAAACTGAGTTTGATTAAAAAGAGAATCTGATTGGTGTCCAACATTGTACAGTAAATCTAATCTTAAAGGGATACTTCAGTATTAAAGGGATACTCCATTTTTTTTTTTTTTTTTTTTTTTTGGAAATAGGCTAATTTTACAACTCCCCCAGAGTTAATTTTGATTTTCTGTATTGTGCATTTTTTATTTCAGATGACAGGCACTACGCAGCAAAACTCGAAGGCCCAGCATGTCCACCTCTCTGCAGGCTCAGCGGCTGGGACCGCCCCGGTCAGCGTGACGCTCGACCCTCAAGCCCAACTGGAGTCAGACAAACGAGCCGTTTACAGGTGAGAGTTGTGCAATCGTGCAACTTCTTATTAAGGACATCATTTATAAGAACATCAAGATTTTTACTTTCTCTGAAGAAAATGTGAGTAGAATGATGCAATGATAGGCAACACGATGCAATGATGTTTTGGTTGGCATTCACTGCCATTAGAAAGTTTAAAGTTGCTAAGATTTTTTTTTAATATCTTTGAAAGACATTTCTTACGGTCACCGAGGATGCCTGTTTTTGATAATAGAGTATGCAGTAAAAACAGTAATATTGTGAAATAATTTTGTTTTTTTAAATAATCGTTTCTATTTGAATATATATAAAAAACATTATGCAAATCTGATTTTTCAGCAGCCAATACCCTAGTCTTTAGTGTCACATGATCCTTCAGAAATAATTATGCTAATTTGATTTGTGTTATGAATGTTGAAAACTTTCTTTCTTTCTTTCTTTCTTTCTTTCTTTCTTTCTTTCTTTCTTTCTTTCTTTCTTTCTTTCTTTCTTTCTTTCTTTCTTTTTCTTTCAAAAAAAAAAATCATACCGACCCCAGACTTTTCAACAGTATGTGTGTAATATACAACAAACAATGAAATCTTTTGCGTTGCTTTATTTTTCCTGTGAATATTACATAGGTACCTGTACACCATTGTTCCATCAGATATAAATTATGCAGTTTTATAGTTACTTGAAACCCTCATAACATATTGATCTAAATACAAGCATGCAGACTAGACCCTTGATTTGAATAGCAACACGCCTGCATAAGTCATACTTTCCTCGTTTATTCATGAAGTAAATAATACATGGCACACTGACACTTTAAATACTTAAAACCTCATTCCCAATCCTCCCCTTCCCGGTTGATCACAGCGCGGCTGTTTGCGAGCCGCATGCATATCGTAGCATCACCGGGTCCTGTGTGAAGGCAGCCGCGAGGGCTCGTTCGCGCGGCTGCGGCGCTGGCTATGATTAGCGGTGTCTCGCGGCGGCGTGGCAGAGGCCCGTGGTTTGACGCTAACCCCTGAGGCAGGTCTGTGAAGACCTGGGCAGGCCTGGGGCTCAGTCTCTCAGCTCCTCAGAGAGAGAAAACTGCCTTTGATGTGAGCAGCCAGCCGGAGGCGGCCTGCAGGCGGTGTGAAAATAAAGCCTAGACTCAGCCTACATTCACACGACGTACACAAACACACACATAAAGTCTGCTCCTACTTCCCTCTCGTTCCTACTCAGCTTCTCACTCGCCGTATATATCTCACCACCTCCTCCTCTCGCTCTCTCTCATACACACAGATTTCTGGTTTCATCCTACGTGACACATCTTAAGTGCTCTAAATATTCAAAGGCGCAACAGAGAGCCATCACTTAGAGAGCCATCACCAAAGAGAAATTGTATTAGACATGATATCTAGGACTATCAGGTCAGGTGTCTAATTGAATTTGTGTAAAAATACACAGAAACTATACTGTACAAAAAAGAATGAGACAAATATGGAATAAGAAATGTAATGTAGTAAGTTATAGGGATATTATGTTTCATTATACCTAATTTGTAAGTCATTTTACATAGATCGGATAAATATGGATGGAAATATATGTATTGTAATTACTCATAATTGCCCAGTCAATCTCTTAAATTCAGGACATACATTTTTATTGGCCAAGCAACTGTGTACATGCTGAGGCACAACAGAAAAGGATCGCTGGCAACGTCATTTTTGTGGGTTTGATTCCCAGAAAAACATACAGTATACTTATAAAATGTATACATAAATATAAGTAGCTTTGAATTTGTCACCTCTGAGTCATTATTTGGCAAATAAATGTCATTAAATATATATAAATACAGCATTAAAAAGTCTTCCTGACCCCTAACTTTGTTATGCAGAGTATAAAGCAACATGCATCTCACCTCCCAAATTTTAATGGGCATTTAACAGAGAAAAAAAAAAATAATTCATAGCTGTTTGTTTATACTGAATCCTCATGTATTGTTTTGATTCAATTTGGCAGGTTGGTGTTTGTTTCCGCACCTTTCGTTTCTCTAATTGCCAGTATTGTGAATTTGAGTTGTTGAGTCTATGCTCTGGCATGTGTTGCTTAATTATTAACAGTAGAATAAATGTGCGATACAGTAATTATCTTAACGAGTTACTGCACTCTCTTTAAAGCATCAGAGACCTTCTCTTCTTATTAGAAACGAGGCAGGGGGTCTCTTTCCTGTGGGGTACTTGCGACATATCCAAAATTAGCTCTAATAAAATTCAGGAGATGAAACTGTAATATGTATCCAAAGAAGTTCCAGAGGGTGTGAAATTCAGCACTCTTCCACAATGATAAAAGCAAGATTCAAGCAAGTCAGAGGTGGGAGAGTCAGAGAGTTTCATAAGTGAACCGAACAAAGAAACCCAGCAAATGTTTTTATTACCGAAGAATTTAATACATTTATTATACAAATGAAATAATATTGTAGATAAACTTACAATTTTGAAAAAATAATTGGTGAAAATGCAAACTTTTCAATCTTTCATTCCTCATGCACAGAAATTATTATATCGACTCATGCAAAGCCTAATAAATTAGGCTTTTACTTTTTTTTTACCACATTAAAATCACAATTTGCTTTTACTATATTTGATTGATTGATTGATTGATTTGTTTATTTAAGTGTCAATCAGCTTCATGGCCCTATTAGACACTATAGTAATAATTGGCTTTTCCTGTAAGGAAATCATATGTAATCAATATATTCATGATTTGTGTACTTTGTAATCCATATTTAATCCTTCAAAATTAGACATTTCTTTGAAAATCTGTTTTGTGTGTACAGAATGCTTCGCACCTCTCAGCAAAGTAGTATTTATGTCTATGTATAGTGTTCATCGGTGTGCTTATATTAGGTTATTGAAACATCTGAATGGGGTTTATGTGTTTCTTTCCCCTCTTGCCATGACTCAGACTGGAACGTGCTGAGTGGATTTGCATTGATACTGGATTTCAGTCTTGTGGTGCACAGTCATGCTGTCTTCATTGAGCTCCAGTGGATCAGGGGTGTCAAAGACTGAAGGAAGAGACTGAACGAGGGAATAGAAAACCGAAAAGGAAAAGGAAATTAGAGTTGGGGAACAGCTTTAGAAGACCCAGCAGTAGCAGTAGCGCATATCAGTCCCAACAGGAGTGCTTTTAATTTGACAGCCAGAGAGGAAATGGTGAGCCAGTTCTCCCCAGCCGCTGTAATGCACCATAAATTCTGTTTACATTCGCTGTTGGGGAGCTCTCGCAGTCATTTGGTGCCCAACGTCTTAATGACTCTCCCTCTCTTTCTTTCTCCTACTAATGGTGCTTCGATTTCTATAGCATCCAGAGAAGTCATCTTATCCAAGCCATAGATTCATCCAGAGAGAGAGTCAATCTTAAATCATGTGCGTCAGGCTGAAGCTGGATTTTTAAATCTTAACCGATTGTGAAATCTGGTTGCATCATGACAAAATTAGACATTTCTTTGAAAATCTAAAAACCCTAAATCTGACCCTTCAGTCATTTTCTTATTTCAAATCTCAAACCTGCACTCATTACAAGATTCAAAATCCATGGCTCATCACACACTACAAGATTTTCTTACGATTATCATGGCAGATTTAGCACCTCACTTAATCTCAAGCGGATGTAAACAAAATGGATACTGTCACGGCAATTTAGACATTATATGAGGGGAAATTATAAAGGCGGTCGTGTTCGACCTGCCGTTCCTCCATCTCCGTTGTCCACCAGAACTGCTTGTTGTTTCGCGGTCGCCATTTTAAAAGTTCTGTCACTTCTTTCTCCTAGACTTCTCTCGTTGGCTATTGTTGAAGTACTGACGTAATCACAGTCGTAATCATACCGATTTAAAATCCTAAATATCAAACATGTTTGATATTGTCAACCCCAATGTATCCGCGAGCGGATCCGGAGGTTAAAAATTTGACCTGTAAGTGGCTCTCATCCGTCAAACATTGGAACGACCGATGCCCTGGACACAGTTTTTTCACTGTATGTCGGGAGAGGTAAATCAGCCTGAAACTCCTTTAGTCTGGGCCCGGCTTAAAGAATGCATTTTTTAGATTGTTACTGGCCTATTATGGTAAATAGTACTCAAAGTATCTCAGGAAATCTCTGAGGGCACATTTATATCCGAGTAAGATTTTGTTCCTCAATTTAAAACCGTAGACGTCAAGTTTTATTCCATTTCATCCTGTCTTGTGTCTCCAGGGTGCACAGTGTTCTGAACTTCACAGACTGACTGTCTGAAGATTCAACCCAATCTGACTGTCTGAAGATTGAACGTGTGTGTTCGTGTTAGCAAGAGCTAGTAAAGTCTGTGAATGAATCTGTTAGCTGTGCTTGCTTAGGAAATGTTATTGCTCAGAGTTAGAAGACTGCTCAAATCTCTATATCTTTTGAACATTATTTCATAGAGATAGTCAACAGTCTAAAAACCCAATTTGACCATACTAGTAGCAGATACAGACAGTAGTAATGCCCTAACAACCACTCGGATCACCATAGCAAAACAACTCAAAACACCCTAGCAACTACAGTACATTGCAACACCCTTCACAACTTCCAGGCTAGCCTAGCAATGGATACAGTATCAGTGCCTTGGAAACCATGTGAAGCACCCTAGTAACCACAAAACAATACTCTACTTCACACTTAACAACTGTATAGCAACACCCTGGCAACCACATACAAACCCCCTAGCAATTACTCAGAGCGCCATAGCAACAGACTAAAAACCACCCTAATACATTAGCAATGCAATGACAACCTACTGTTCATCACTACAGCAATATAGAAACCACTCACAACAGCCTAGCAACTACATAGCAACACCTTACAAATCACCCAGACCAGTCTAGCAACCACACACTAGCAGTGCCCTAGCAACCATTCAAAACACCCTAGCAACTGCATAACAACACTCTAAAATGACCCAGAACTGTTTAGTAACTTTATAGCAACATGCTGGCCTTT